TGCCAAACCAAACCACCTGGACGCTGAAGGGAGTGAGACATATCCCTGGCCTCAAAAGAAATTTGATTTCTATAGGACAGCTTGATGGAGAATGATATAGCATAACCTTTTCAGGCTGTGAATGAAAGATTACCAAATGAGCACTCGTCATTGCTCGTGGTAAGAAGATCGGTACTCTATATGTAACATCAAATTTAGAGAATATCATTGCTGCAGCAGATACTGATGGAAAATCAAACCTATGGCACCAAAGGCTTGGTCATATGAGCGAAAAAGAGATGAATACACTTTTGTCAAAAGGGAAGCTGTCAGATCTAAAGAATGTAGATGTCGAACTATGCGAGGATTGTATCTTTTGCAAACAAAAGAAAGTAAGCTTTGCAAAGATTGGCAAGACACCCAAGGTTGAAAAGTTAGAGTTGGTTCATACTGATGTATGGGGACCATCTCCAGTTCCATCTCTTGCAGGCTCATTATATTATGTCACCTTCATCGATGATTCTACAAGGAAGGTGTGGGTTTATTTTCTGAAGAAGAAATCATAAGTCTTTGATAGCTTTAGAAAATGGAAGGCCATGGTGGAAAATGAGAATGGTCTGAAAGTCAATCGATTGAGGTCTGACAATGGAGGATAGTACAGAAATAGGAGATTCAGAGATTTCTACGCAAACAATGGGATCAAGATGGAAAGAACAGTTCCCATGGCACCGCAGCAGAGTGGCGTAGCAGAACGCATGAACAGAACTCTGAATGAATGTGCCAGAAGCATGAGGATACATGCTGGATTGCTCAAATTTCTATAGGTTGAAGCTATCAACACTACGGCTTACCTGATCAACCGTGGGCCCTCAGTTCCTTTGGATAGCAGAATACCAGAGAAAGTTTGGAGCAAGAAAGAAATAAACCTTTCACACTTAAGAGTGTTTGGTTGTATTTCTTATATACATATAGACTCTGCTCAAAGAAGTAAACTTGATGCTAAGTCCAACAAATGTGTCTTTGTTGGTTATGGCGGTGATGAGTTCGGTTACCGGTTTTGGGACTACGAAAATCGAAAGATCATCAGAAGCAGAGATGTCATTTTCAATGAGAATGTGATGTACAAAGACAAGTCAACTGTAGAATCAAGTAGCTCCAATACGGATGCTGAAATAAAGGAATTTGCTAAGTTTGAGGAGATTTCTAAAAATGATGTTCAGATCAATCCAGAAGTAGTTCAAGAAGAACCAGGCACACCAGAACTGAGACGCTCCTCCAGAATTTCTAAACCAACCCAACGATATTCTCCTTGTTTGCACTACTTGTTCCTGACTGACAATGGTGAACCATAGTGTTATGATGAAGCAATGCAAGTGGAGGATTCAGTCAAGTGGGAGTCTTCCATGAAAGATGAGATGGACTCGCTTATGTCAAATCAGACATGAGAATTAGCTAAATTATCACCAGGCAAGAAAACGCTCCACAACAAGTGGATTTACAGGATCAAAGAAGAGCACGATGAGAGCAAACTCTACAAAGCAAGATTGGTTGTCAAATTTTTTCAGCAAAAGGAAGGTATTTACTACAATGAAATTTTCTCTCTAGCTGTAAAACTGTCTACAATCAGACTGGTGTTGAAAATTGTAGCTGTAGAAAATTTACATCTTGAGCAGTTAGATGTAAAGACAGCTTTCCTTCATGGTGATTTAGAGGAAGAAATCTATATGAGGCAGCCAGAAGGCTTCATAGAGGCAGGAAACAAAAACCTGGTATGCAGGTTGAAGAAGAGTTTGTATGGTTTAAAACAAGCTCCTAGACAGTGGTACAAGAAGTTCGATTGCTTCATGAGTAGCAGTGGTTTTACCAGATGGCAAGCAGATCATTGTTGCTACATCAAGAAGTTCGACAACAACTTCATTATTTTATTGTTGTATGTTGATGACATGCTTGTTGCAGGTTCAGACATGCAAGAGATTATAAAATTGAAGCAAAAATTGTCGAAGCAGCTTGCAATGAAAGATCTGGGTGCTGCAAAGCAGATTCTAGGGATGAGGATCAAGAGAGACACAAAGTCGGGGACATTGATGTTATCACAGACTGAGTACATCAACAAAGTACTCTCCAGGTTCAACATGCAAGATGTTAAATCAGTAAGTACACCTTTAGGTGTTCATTTTAGACTCTCCAAAGAACAGTACCAAAGACGGAGGAAGAACGTGCACACATGGTGAAGGTGTCGTATGCCTCAGCAATTGGAAGTCTAATGTATGCCATGGTTTGTACTAGACCATATATTACTCATACAGTGGGAGCTGTTAGCATGTACATGAATAATCCGGGCAAGGTACACTGGGAAGCAGTCAAATAGATCCTCAGATATCTGCGGGGGTACTACAAACAAAGCACTTTGTTTCAAAGGTGGAGATACGATACTAACAGTCTATGTGGATGCTGACTTAGCCGGAAACGTTGACATCAGAAGGAGCACTACAGGGTATGTTTATACTCTAGGAGGTACTGCAGTGACTTGGGTTTCTCAACTACAGAAGATAGTTGCTCTCTCCACAACTGAAGCAGAATATGTTGCTGTTATGGAAGAGTTAGGCAAGAAACAAGAAAACAATTTCTTGTATTGCGACAGTCAAAGTGTTATCCATCTAACAAAGAATCCGTCTTTTCATTCCAGGACGAAGCACATACAATTACGGTATCATTTTATTCGGTCTCTTCTGGAAGATGGGATTTTGAAACTTGAAAAGTTTAGTGGAGCTAAAAATCCGGCAGACATGTTGACAAAGACGGTGACCACGAACAAACTGAAGTTGTGTTCAGCTTCAGTTGGCATGCTAGAATAACATGACCAGAAATGCTGATGCATTGATCAAGGTGTGAAGAAAGATTAAAATTAGTTTTCAAGTGGGAGATTGTTGAACGCAAGTCAAAAAAGAGGGGAGAGTTTTTCAACAAATTGGGCAGCAATCATGGGCTGCTAGATGATATTGTTGAAAAAAATATTAGGCACCGAATGATGCATCATTTGTTGAAAATGGTAATGGATAAATCATACATTTAGTCATTGTATTTTTTAGGGTAATTACAAGATTAGTCCCTAAGCTTCAACTATAAATACCCTAGCCCATTTAGCTTCAAAATCATCCCAAAATCCCAAATAGTTTTCTTTCTCTCAATACTAGAGAGCTTTATTGTGAGTAGTGAGTGTTTTGTAAACACCTGTAAATTTTCTCTCTTAGTAAAAGATCTGCAGCAGTCCGGAGACGTAAGCAAAATTGGCTGAACTCCGTTATCAATTTCAGGTATTATTTTTCCGCTTTTATTTCGCTTTATCACTAATCTGGCTATAGGGAAATTACTCGTACTCGTTTATTTCCCAACAGCATGATGCCGCCATTGAATTGTTTCATGAGATGGAGGCAAAGAGTTGTAAGCTAACACCTAATGTTTATTGTACTTCAATTAATGGTTTAGGTTCAGAGAAGAGGTTAAGTGAAGCTCTTGAGTTTTTTGAACGTTTCAAGAGCTGTGGTTTTACTAGGCACCTGATTCGCTACTAGGGTTTAGGGTATAGGATTCGAGGTCTGATTCTGTGTTGTATATCCCTTTAGCCTTTTGAAATTGTTTCCTCCAATGGTTTGTGATCCGACTCTTTATAGGAGATCATGTGAATATCTACTGTCCTTTAGACATTTGATTGTATTTATCTGTATGTTTATGTATTCAATGCCAAAAGCCTATTCTTTATGTACAATAAGATGGGTCCTCTTGCCCATAGGCCTGTCGAGAAAGGAGAAGAAACTCCATTTTGTCTTCATAATTATTAACCCCTCAGTTGAGTTTTGACTTCATAATTTATAAATAATTATGATTAACCTTTTAATTTGGGCTAAGAATTTATGGTCTATAACAGAGCAAATATTATATGGGTTCATTTTTTTGGATAATTTTCATTTATAGATCCAAAGAGAAACGACCAAGCTGCTATAAGATAACAAAATTCTCTACACCCTTAGTCAAAATTCTAGACTAAACACATCTGCGTATATTTGATCTCTCTATACATTTTCAGTAAACTTCATACTAACAACGACACGAATGCATTGAACAACAGCATCTTCACCCCTCCTAAGTTTCCTGAACAAGCGAAAATTTCGTTTCTCTCAAACAAAGTAAATAAACGGACACCACACCACCTTCAAGACGAGAGTAAGGAGAGATCGACCTTTAAGAGCAGTACACGCCCAACCCACTTCCCTCGCTCAGTCATAAACTGTCATGCGCAATCCACGCAAGAGTAAGACATTTCTCCAAATGTCGAAGGAAAATGGGCAACCAAAAAAATGTGCTCCCTAGTTCAACCGCCCCATTACACAAGACACATACATCGTCCACATTCATCCCCATCCGGGATAACCTAACTTTTATCCCCAAAAGGGCTAACTAGACAATGATCGCATGTTTCGAAGTATGCATTGGGAACCAGACCAATTTGTGTCAATCCACTCTCTCCCTTTTCAATTTGATTTCCTCCCATGTTATCCTTGTCGAGGCACCACTAGGATATCTACCAGTCGCCCCAAAAATAGGAGTTCCCACCAACCTAAGGGCAAAGATTTTCCATAATCTCCAACTCATTGACATAGAAGTCTCCATAGTCCAAATGAATTTACCTTGAATAACATATTCATGAACCTATGCAATCCAAAGAGAACCTTCATTAGCGAGAATTTTTCTCAACTGCAAAACTCAAGCCTTATTCCAAACATTCAGGTTCCGTAGCCCAAGGGCCCCCAGCCTTCAAGAAACAAATCATATCCCACGCCACATTTGCTCTTGAAGTTCTCACATCCTGACCCTTCTAAAAAATCCTAGAAACTAATTACTTAATCCTTTTCTACAACACTCTTCGGAAGGATGAGCTGCATGCACCAATAATTCGATACACTACAAAGAATTACACGAATCGACTACAGTCTACCAACGTAACTAAGCTTATGATCAGCCCATTAATTAAGCATGGATCGAATCTTCTCAATCACACCCTGGTAATCTTTCTCACCAAGCTTTCTAATGACCAAAGGAACAACCAAATAACGAACTGGAAGCCTCCCCAATTTAAATCCATTACACTCACAAATCTTCGCAAGCTCTATCTCCGAAACCCCTGAAACAAACAAGTCACTCTTAGTCGCATTAAACCAAAACCCATACATCTCATGAAATATATCAAGAACACACTTAATCCCACAAACAGAGTCAAGAGACCCTCTAGAAATAATAATTAGATCATCCGCGAAGCAACGGTGGGTAAGACCAATCCTCTTGCATTTCGGGTGAAATATGAAGATCCCCTCCTTAACACCAAGGTCCAAAAGCTTGGAGAAAACATTCATAACCATCACAAAATTAAAAGGAGACAAGGGATCACCCTCTCGGATTCCTTTCCCCCCTTACAATATTCAACAAAACTATCATTAAAAGAAATAGAGAAGGGTATGTATGTGGTTTTCAACCAAACTCAAATCACATGTAATATGGTTTTGTATAAAAGAGGAGATCAAAACAGAGTATTTACAGTCTAAAATCAACTCCTTTAGATATAAAAAAATATTTCTCCCTATTCACAAAACTTGAAGAACAACTCCTCCAAACATCAATACCTTCACCAAATAGAAAAACACATGTTGATGGTAACATGTTAATTTTAATAATAAATATCATAACAATTTAAATTTCAAACCAACATAAAATAATTTAAATTATATTTTTAAAATTCTAAAAAAATAAAATTAAAAATGTGAAAAACCTAAAAAAATCGAGTTACAGAAAAACGATACATTGAACTCAAGGAAAATTATGGTGTACAACCGTCTAATTTAAGGTTAATGAAAGATGAGAAATGATTGCAACTAAAAATGTGATAAAAAAATATATTTTTCGGTTGAGTTCATCTTAAAATGTTGATTTTTTTCATAATATGTTTGATTTAAAGATATTTTTAACCATTTGATATTGATTAATATTACATCTCTAACATTTCAATTACTTAAATTTAAAATTTTAAATAATAACAACGATTCCTTTATTGTGAATATCGATTACTATTTTTGTGTGTGTTATTCTTAAATTAGACGGTGATTTTTTAGATTATTCCGAGAACTCGCACAACTCAAAATCCAAAGATAATGGAAGGGAGGTCCAACCTGAGAAAAAAGAATGAGATGAAATTAAACATACTATTCTGGTGATGTGATCTTCAGAGAATTTTTTTTATGTATTTTTTACCACTTTCTTGGGAACTGATCAAACTCCTTTTGGATCAAAAATAAAAAAGAAGTCAGTGGCAGTTATGGTAAAATAATGGGAATAAAAATCAACAAGACTTTATAAAGAAGCAAAGGGCAGTGAGATTTGAACAGACTAAAGAAATGAACGATAAGGGGGGAGTTTTTGAAAGCTTTTAGGGTTAGGGGCAGCATGCATGGCAGTGAAATTTGCAGCCAAGTAATGATGCCCCTAAACACAGTCTCACACACTAACCGAGCTTTGTGTGATTGCGTGCTGTCTTTATGTTTGAAAACTGAAAACAACAAAGACAAAAGGATCCATTAGGCACGAGGAGGACCCAATATGTCCTCAAAGCTGAATGCTCAAACCCACACAAGCTGGCTGCTGCTGGTTGAATGCGCGTTTTTGGCCTTTTTTGTGTTTTTCAATACACGAAACAGGTTAAAATAAGGGCATGCATGATTGGGAATTGTGACCCATAAAAGGTTCAAAATACAACTATAAAGTTCTTTTCTTTTGTTTCCTTTCTGATGTTTCATTTAGACTCGCCGGTCACCCCTCTATCACGTACTTTCTATGATCACTTAAAAAGAGAATTTTTTTGTAAGGGTAAAATACATAAATAGTTTATCGACTATAAGGTAATATTGTTTCGTTGAGTCAATTTATAACTAAAAGTTACGAAATGATCTTGTGTCTATAGGACATTATTTTATCGAATTCATCAACTTTTAAAAGTTACATAATGATTATATTACCATTTATATGTTTTAAAGTTATCTCTTTCTTTTAAAAATTTGACGACAATTTGAGTTTGATGATAACTTTTAACCGTGATATGATAAAATTTAATCCCAAAATCTTAAACGACTATCATATCTCAATAAACACATGAACCTTCAACTCAAACTATCATAAATTTATTAACGAAAAAAGACGAGTTTGTAACATATGGATAATTGAGTGATCGTTATGTAACTTGTAATAGTCGAGGGATTCGATAAAACAACATTATATAATTAATTATTATTTATAACTTTTAATAATTAAGAGACTCAACAAAACAATATTCTATAATCGAGAATCATTTTATACTTTACATTTTTTTAAACAGTCCTTATATTCAAATAGGCCTTGACTATGCGGTTCTTATAGTCTCGTATCCATGTCATAGAATGTCTAATTTTGTGTGTAGATTTCTTATTTTATCTCTTTGTTTCGATTTCTATCCGACTGTATTTAGTTTAGAATTTTAAAATAATATTAATTAAGATTGTTTTTTAGCTCGTGTTTATACTTATAGTTACTACATTGTACTACTACAGTTGGAGTTAATTAAATTTCAAAAAGAGAATAAAAAATATTTAAATTAATTAAATCAAAGTAAAAAGACTAATTTCATAATATAAAATTTATTTGTAATGATTTCTCGTTATTTAAAGTTGCTAGATCAAATAGTCCATCAATTTTGAATTCAACTAATTCCAACTTTGAAGTTTAATGAAAGTTATTTTGAACGGTTTTGGGCACTTTTAGTCTTGATTTTCTTTAGATTTAAGGGTAAAATATACAAATGGTTATTCAACTAAAAGATGTTATTTTCTTCATTCTCCACTATTAAAATTTATAAAATGAACTTCGATTGTGGGATATTGGTGTGTTGAGCCTCTTGACTATTAAATGTCATAAAATGATCATCCGACGATTCAGATGTTTTAGACTCGTCATTTTATGTTAAAAAGTTGACATTTATCTGTACATGAAGTTAACCTCTTGACTGAGATATAATAAAATCTTATCTCATAACTGTTTGAGTTATATAATCGTTTGAGATTTTGGATTCATTATTTATCATATGAATAGTTTGATGATAAATTTATAATTTTTAATAATCGATGGACTCAACAAAGCAACATCCTACAATCGAAAGACGATTTCGTAACTTTTAATAGGGGGTTGGTTCAAGTGGTAAGCGGCTTGATATCGCTTATGCATGTCTCATATTCTAGTCTTTGTGTATGCAGAAAATTCCCGCTGAGAGACTCATCCATCAATGTCAGGTGTGCGACACAGGTCAACCTAAATTAATCAAGACAATACCTTAAAATTAGAGATTAACCAACAAAAATAACTCAATAGAATAATACTCTATAATCTGATAACATTGATGTACTTTACCCTATTTTTAATTAGTTCCCCCCCTTAATTATACGTATTTCCTATATAGTGTTGATGGCAGAAGAGATTTGTTAGGCAGCATGGAATGGGTTGCAAATTTGATGAAACTCAATTTTGAGAGGCTGTCGAATGATTGACAGCAGGGATGGTAGCACGTGATAATCATGGAGAGATTTCTATCAGATGTCTGATCAGGTTATTGGTGACATGACCGACACAAAAGGCTTATCATTTGACCATTCAGTTTGGTCTTTATTAATTGTGTTTATATAGTGCGTACGTTTTTTATTAATTGATTAATTTTTTAAGTGAATTAATCAGTCTAAACTAATAAATATACATGTAAGCCTAATTACTAAAATGGTTGGCCCTACATTGATATTTTTGTCCATAAAAACCTTAGTATTAGACCAATACGTGATGAAATAAAAATGAAATAAAAATATAGAATGTAGTTGTGATATACTTACTCTTACATGTACCCGTTGAAGATATTAGAGCATTTGAAAAGCATTTCTTAAGTAGCCGTTTTTTTCTACAATTTATATCAATTTTATTCACCAATTCAACTATTTCTTTTTTAATTTTATTTAATCGGCGGCGACACCGATTTTGATGCTGATTATCGCCCATCGATTATATTTTTTCTTTGTTTTTAATTTTTTAATAAGAATGATTATGTCATTGTGACATGTTATTTGCCTTTATGACACGTTTATCTCTGTCTTTATGACACATGTTTATTTTCCTTTTGGTAGCTTACAGTTTTTTACCATTGTTTATGTTTATCTTTTTTTATATGGTTGGATTTGACATCGCCATGACTAATAAATATGGCGCTTATTTGTTATCATGCTGCCTCGGTTTGATTTGGATACATGTTTTGCGCTCGTGGATAGTTTTCTCACGTCGTTTGACTCTGATTTGCGATTTTATCGGTGGTCTTTCAGTAGTTCCATCATCTTTTATGGTTTGTTTACTGATGCATTCAAATTTATTCATATATTTATTTTATTCGAGCATTTGTTAGGGTTTTTCAACCTTTTTCATTCATGGTCCTTGTGTGATCTAGGTGGCTAGTTTTTGTGTTAATGGTTATAGGAAAATGTCCTAATTATAATTTAGTTTATGATTACGGTTATGTTCGTAAATCTTCATTGTAATTTTGAATACTTTCTATTTTTAATAAAACTAGTGACTTTCTATAAAAGAAAAGAAAAAAAAAACATTCTTTAGGAAGCGAACAATAGAACCTTCATTTTGTAGATAAAAGAAGGCATAATGCAACAAAATAACCCTAACGTTTGACAGTATCGTCAAATTTACCCGTATTGATTTTTTTACACATTTGATCACTTAATGTTTCATTTTGGGTCAAAAAAACACTATGTTGATGGAAACCGTTAGTTAACTGCCGATCAACACCTGATGCTAACCAAACTCGTACAGATGGACGTAGATGCTGATGGCTTATCCAACTCATGGTACATGATGATGTGGCAGGTCCTCGTGTGATGTCACATCAAAATTTTTTTGTAGATTAATTAATAATTATTTTTACTAAATTAAAAAAATTCAATCAGATATTTTCGCGTTAAACATGGTATTTTTTTAATTAAATTAGGAAAAATGGGATTAAACCCCCAAAATATGCAATCTCATGAGATTTAAACTTGGGTCTAGTGAATGAAAGGCTCAATGCCTAACCAACAAACCAACTCACTTGGATGTTATTGTTATATTAATAACAATATTTAAAGTGTATTGTAGCCATCAAAACCACAACACGAACACTTTATAAACTTTTATTTTAATTTTTTATTAAATTTAAACTACATACTCTCTAATTAAATTAATATTTTAAATAATAATAATAATAATTCAAAATTTATAATCTTTAAAAGAAAATAAAATGATTTAATATTTT